TATGGAGGTCAGAAGAGGCTGTTTGATCCTCTAGAACAGGAATTATAGACGGTTGTTAGCCTCCATGTGGGTGCTGGATTTGAAGCTGGGTCCTCTCTAAGAACAGCCAGTGTTCGAAACTCTGAACCATCTCTCCAGCCCCTAAAACTCAGTTTTAAAAAACAAAAACAGAAAATGGGGGAGAAGGTGGGGCTGTAGTTCCGTGCCTGGCATGTACAAAGCCTCGAGTTCAATCCCCAGCACCACACAAAACTGTAAACAACAAAAAATAGCTTTATAAAATCATATTGTGCACTTCTTTGCTTCCTTCAACATGTCATATGCCGAACGTGGAGCAACCCCATCCTTACATGGTGACCAGCCTGTACCATGAAGTGATGCTCCCTTCATTGAGGTTTGGGCTGAGATTCACATTGGGCTTTTTGTCAGTTTGCTTCCAGAATTTTTATGTGTATTAGTGTTTGTCTGCATGTATGTAAGTGTACCATGTGTGTGCCTGGTACCTGAGGAGGCCAGAAGAGTGTCAGATACCCTGGAATTGAAGTTATAGATGGTTGTGAACTGCCATGTGGGTGTCGGGAGCCAAACCTGGGTCCTCTGCAAGAACAGCAAGTGCTCTTAACAACTCAGCCATTTCTCTTGTCTCCCAGAATACGACTTTTGGCCTTGTTACGTAGCCCAGGACTTGAACTTGTGATGTTCCTGCTCACCTTTTATAGACGATCTATATAGTATTTGGTGGAATCATTTACAACTCATCGTAGAAACTGTCACATCTGGATAGAAGCAGCCTGAATTGTGCAGTGTAAATCCTGGGCAGCCTACGTGATAGTCCTAACTCTTGCCAGGCATCGTGGTATACCTACAATGCTAGCATTTGGGAGGCAAAAGCAGAAGGATCGCTTTAAGTTCAAGGTTGGCCTGGGCCTGAACTTTGGACTTCAAAGTGCTGGGATTACAGATGAAATCACCATGCCTGGCACTCAGCATGATTTTTGACTCTCCCCCAACATGGTATTCATATGCTTGAAGTGCTTTTGCTCCCTTAAATGACATCTGCTGCCTTGGAAACTAGAGAACTGAGCCAGTCAGAAATGTGTGTAAAGTAAGTTAAAAAGCCCAACGATTGGTCCACGAGGAGCCCATGGTAGCAGACTCCCTAACTTCTGTTTGTTAGAGCAGCCCAGGGCACACTGTCAAGTTCCGTCTCAGGTGGGCAAATGGCCTATTTCACTTTGTTTCAAGCAGGTGAAGGGCAATGAGACCGTCACTAGACGAGAAAGACATGCCTGTCTGCATGCCCACATGTGACTGTGATTCTATTTATCAG